ACCAGCTGGTAGTTCATCAAGTAATATTCCACCAAACAATGAGTTGAATTATCAAGTTATTGATTTTACGGCAAAATCAACAAGCATTACAACACCAAAAGATGATTTTATCACCAAAACAACTATACAGCCAAGCACCACATTGCCCAAAGATGAGATAAACTATCAAGAAATTGACAATGACTTTAGCACAAAAACTGCCAAACAGGTTGATAGTCCACTCAACAAGACATCTCCGAAACAGGAGTCAAATTATAATGTCATTGACGACGATTTTAGCTCCAAACCGAAACCCGAATCCGCCAACTGTCAACCCTGGGATACCCGCATTAAGCTAAAACCAAGATCCGACCTCAGAACCCAACCATTAAATTCGACAGTCCAATACAGTGTAGTGAAACCGAAGAACGCGAGACGACAGGGAGATGGTAAACCATCAGAATATGATCGCATCAGTACAAAGACAACAGCAGATAATTTGGAAAAAGAGGAACCTTTAGATCCAACTTACAACTATTTTAAACACAACTCATTAACTCCCGTGGTGAAAGATAAAACGTATTATGATCATATTCCAAAACGTGGCGAACATCCTCTGTCTGATCCCTACAGCGATCCTACCTATAACTATCTGGGTGAAAAGGGCCCTACACGACACCCACACCAAGAGAACAATGTTTCTCCAAATTCAAAAGAGGAACCTTTAGATCCAAATTACGACCATTTTAAACACAACACATTAACCTCTGTAGTGAAAGATAAAACGTATTATGACCATATTCCAAAACGTGGCGAACATCCTCTGTCAGATCCCTACAACGACCCTACTTATAACCATCTTGGTGAAAAAGGTCCTACACCACATCCACACCAAGAGAACAATGTTTCCCCGAATTTAAAATCTGAAGGTGAATATAGGGATAACCTCAAACGACAGCACTGTAACCACAACAAGAAGAATGTTGATGATCCTTATAATGACCCTACCTATAATCATCTCGGCCAAAAGGTTCCAGCAACAAGAGACCACTGACTCTCCACATCTAACAGTCAATGCCAGACACAGAAGACTGTGGGTGACCCCTTCAATGACCCTACCTATCGCCATCTTGGTGTAAAAAATCATACCCCACAACCACAACAAGGCGGTGCCGTCTCCGATAATTCATCATCTCGTGAAGAAAAGGGACATACCCACCAAACCACAACAAGGCAGGAACGTCTCTGAGAATTCATCATCTCATGAGGAAAACGGTCATACCCAACAAACCACAGACAGCAGGAACCCCAACCAGATGCTGTAGAATACAACCGCGTCTTCACCTTAGAAACCAGTAGGTAACGATACCAACAATCAAGACACCACAGTCTAAATTCATGCCAAACATACCAGATACCAAGAATTAGGATAACCCATGAATCCGATCTGCTGTTCAACGCTCATTGATGATTAAATCCAAAAGTGGATAATCGAGACTTGGGTTTTATCGTATCGACTTTAGTTGAGCAATTCGATTGAAATTTTTTACATATTATTCTATTTACGTTATCTATTTTTTAACTGTTATAACGAGAACAGTCAACGCTTTATCTAATCTCCCATAATGTATCTTTAAGTCTTTACTTTAGTAAAATAGGTAGTTAGGCAGTGAAAACATTTAGATGTACTCCACATGGCTAAATCAAACTAGTTACAAAACACAACATAATTTATATGGAAAAGAATCGATGGTTTATACACATATACAATGATGCATCCTCTTATCATTGTGCCATATGTCTACGCGTATAAACCAGTGATTGTTTTCCATATAAATTATGTTGTGTTTTTTAATCTGCTCAATCATTAAATGCCACTCAAGGATTAAACTAGTCACACTGTCGCATATTTTTAAAGCTTATAAAAAATTTAGTTACATGGCTAAATGTCTAGTTTCTTTTTCATTTATGTAAAATATTAAAATTTAGTTATATTGTAACATAGTTTAAATTTAGTTTTATAGTCACATTGGTATATTTAGTTATATTTTAACATAGTATAAATATTTAGTTAAAACTTCAACATTGCTAAATTATTAAGAAAGCACGAGAATGGACTGTGGTACGGTAATCATCCAATGTAGGCTACATCTGTAGTCATATAAATCCACTAGATGCAAGCAAGGTCATTTCGTGACTAACATGGTTCAATTGTCATTTTAATAATTCGCTTGTGCGTATTGGAATTTAGCTGTCAAAACAGTTGATACGACATGAATTGTTATAGAACAACGTGGGAATAAGTAGGGGAATCCCCTTGAATAGCTGAATGGGTTTACTCCATTAACTGTTGTTCATATAGAATAGACGCGTTAAGATATTCTTTTGATGACTGAACTATAATACAACAACTTCAAACCTTTCTGTGTCAACAAACTGATATTGAGTTTCTTTATTACAAGAATATTCATTTAAACACGTTAGAATAAGTAGGGGAATCCCCTCGAGTTGAAAGTCACTATATAACTGTTCTCTTATTTTACCTGGGCAGAGTTGATAAGAAAGTGTACCTAGTAACGAAAATGTTACTTTTCATTTAAGGTGGGTGCCACGGAGGTCCCGTGTTTAATTCTAGTGTTGGTCGAGAAGAGAAACTTCATCGGGAGATTCTCTGAGAGAGAGAGAGAGAGAGTGAGAGGAAGAGAGAGAGTGAGAGTGAGAGAGAGAGAGAGGGAGAGAGAGTGAGTGAGATTAAATGTCCACTCGACACAAACTAGTTCAGTTCGAGTCTAACATCCATTGTATTTCGATAATTCTCTAGCGCGCCGGTTTCGTTAGCTGTGGGAGGATACCGGTCGACAGACGAACCTACTTATTGTCACGTAAAAGCGATGCATCGAATCAATGACAGACCTTGGAATTCGGTGAAGGAGTAGTCAGAAAAGCCCATGTATGCTCATAGCACACTTCATTAATTCAGTACAATTATATTTTTTAATTAAATAACAGTAGGTAAACGGAGGTGACTAGATGAATAATTTGCTAATGTCAGGTTTATTCTAGCTAAGGATGGATTAGTGTATGGTGTAATGATATGAAATATAACAAGGAAATTGTGCTCGACCAGCGGCGACACTGTCCACTCTTTTATTTCAATAGTCAGTGGTTCTTTTACGTGTATGCTGTGTTGTATACGGGACCTTTGTTTTTTTGTACAATCCGCACAACTAGGCGATGCTCACAAGTCGTGCATCTCTGACAAGAGGAATCAACGCTGGAAAATCCCGAGGAACTTTATCGGTTTAGACACGTTTAATATTGACAAGTTTCAGCGTGCGTTTTTGCCGGCGAAATAGTCGATCTAATGCAAATATTATATATCATATTTGCAGCGTGTCCATTTAGCCGACGGAAACGCGCGTGGAAACGCTACAAAAACGGGCTTAATGCACATAAACACATATATTGGCATGTCTGTACATGTTCACCCACCGAGAGCATAATATAAATACTAATAATGATAATAATAATAATTTATTTTTAATATAGAGTTTTACATAAAATCTGAGAACAGTTTACAACAGTTATATAGTTAAAATGACACAAAAGAAAAAGAAATGGCACTATGTAAGATAACAATGGTGCTCAGTTAAAATAGCTTTTCTAAAAAAGATGTGTTTAAGTGCATAGACATTAAAATCGTGATCACCATACGCCTTAGTTGGTTGTAGAGTGGAGTGTCAGCACTTCTGACACGATATAAAGGTACACTAATAGAAATTGACCCGTTTAGTTAACAGCTGTGAAGGTGGGTTTCATGTCTGCACTACCAAATGAGCGGTCGCATTTTGAATATGCTGTAGTGTTTTGCGTTGATACCCATAGAGACCGAAAAACAAACTATTACAATAGTTTAACATTGAAGTCACAAATACATGAACCAGTTGTTCGGTAGTGGATTGATCGATAAGTTTCCTAAGTTTACCTATTCTCCACAGTGAGTGCTACACCGTCCGATACACACTAGTAATATATGTGTCCATTGTACGTTTTCACTGAACCATAAAAGGAAAGTATACTTTAACACAACGTGATAGTTACACAGTAACATATATTAACATACCATTTATATACTGACGAAATACTAACATATATTAATACAACATTTATCTACTGACGACATACTAACATATATTAATACAACATATATCTACTGACGACATACTAACTTATATCTAATGACGACAATTATCTACTGACGACATACTAACATTATATTAACATACCATATATCTACTGACGACATACTAATATATATCTACTGATGACGACATACTAACATATATTAATACTACATTTATATACTGAACTAATAAAATGCATGTATCAATATTATTTTGGTTAACGGCCGTTTTAGAAATCCCTTTGTATACAATTTATGTATGTCTCGGCCATTGTTATTATGGCAAGTGATTTAATGGGGTTTTCTTTCAAATGTTTCTGATAAATAGAAAACCTCCTACGAGCCTTTTTTGATATAAAAAAATATCAACACAAGTGGATAAAGTAAAAAAAGGCTCTGCTGAGGTTTGTTTTTACTTTTTTACTTTATCGACGTGTGTTGATATTTTTTGATATAAAAAAAGACGAGTAGGAGATTTTATTTATCACCCAATCCTTTCTTACATGCACAAATAAATAAAAATAATTCTTTGCTATAGACTTTACTTTTACTGAACCTTGTTACATTACGGCGTAGTGATACATAGTTTTTAACTATTATAGCGAGAACTGCCATCTCTTTATCTTATCTCCCATAATGTATCTATAAGGAACATCATCTGATTAAAAATAGTATTTAAAATATGTATGCCAAATATCAGTATCATATAAAACTAATTACATTTGGTTCCTTATTGAAAGCGAACACAATTTTATTTTTAGCTCGACTCCGCCCTCGCATTTATTTAGCACGAAGGCAAGAAGGCGCGAAGGGGTATGTTTCGTTTACTCTTGTCACCTTTCATCAGAACAGAGGGCACTGTGACAAAAGCCATGAAGCTACGTATTGTTACACTGATATATCATTCTGTATCCATGTAACTGGAATGTGAATGCCTTTTATGCTTCTATTTGACCATGCATTATACAAATATCACTATAAATATTGAATATATTAGTCGATATTAGGTTGGTAGGTAAATATATACTATTAGTACTTGCATGTTATAACTCCTTTCCCAATCGCCATTTTAGCTTGGAATGTTTAGTAGAAGCATACGGAATACTGACCTGTGAATTGCTAGAACACATAGAGAAAGACACGTTAAACTAGTTGAAGAAATCATAGATAGAGAAAAGTTAAAACAGTTGAAGAAGATGTTGTCTAGATTATCCAGGTTAACTTTAGGTGTTAGTCTCGTGTTGTTATTGGGTGAGTAGAGACATATACTGATTTTTAAGGGTGGGGAATTAACCCTCTAGAGGTCTTAAGTACTGAGAGAGAGAGAGAGAGAGAGAGAGAGAGAGCTATGGGAGTTAGAATTAAGAGCTAAAAAGTACTGTGGTACGGTAATCATCCAGTGTAGGCTACGTCTGTATTCATATAAATCAGACGAAATCCGGTGTACACCCAATGCCTTGACAATTGTAATCCAGTTGTTGATGCCTTGTCAAACATAGCACACTCGATCAGAGACAAACACATGAACTCAAGAAGTACAGAAAGAGTGCATCACACACACCAACTAAAATGAAACTGAGGACAGAAACGAGGAAGCTGTTAAATTTATTGACAGTCAGGGGCAGGTTTATGCTACGTCTAAATATTTCCACGCCAAACTCCCCAATATTCCGTCATTGTCGCGACGCTATGCTTTATTGAAATGAAATGAAATGAAATGGGGTTTAACGTCCTACTGGTCTTCTTCGACTTGGCTAATGATGACAAGTAAGACATACACATTGAAGTGTCCTACGAGGGAAGGCAACGTTGTACGGTGATGTGTACATGGGACCCCAGTGTTTCGTCACAATCGACTGACTAATTACCAGGCTCTCCGTCGTATACCACTATTGGGGTTGGATGGCCGAATGGTTAGCACGTGAGCGCTGTATCATAAGGTCTGTCACTGAGTCAACTGGCGTGTTTTCGAATCCCCGGTTGTACGTGTCAAGGAGTATTGTCGCCTTCCATCCTCGTGGGTTTTCTCTAGGTCCTCCGGTTTCCTCCCACTGCTAAAGACCCCTACGCAAAAGCGAATTATTGAAATACAATTGAACCATGTGTTAGTCCCGAAATGACCTAGTTTGTGTCTTGTGGACGTTAAACCCCATTTCTCTTCTCTCTCTCTCCTGTACCACTATCAAGGGGGAACCACACCGGAAAATTCTGATGAACTTGATCAGTCAACACAGGGAAACAAAACGGAACCTCGTGTTTAGCAACTAAGCTGTATTAAATGTCCCTTTTCCCGTTGATAATAATTATACTTTTATTCATTTTTGAACAGTTGGTGGAGTTTATTGTGAAGTTGTCGAAGGTTGTTATGGACCACCGGAACCATGCCTGGAGCGCACCCTGTCTTGTGAAGATGGTAACGTTGTAATAATAAATACAGAAAGAGCAACTATCGTATACGGTAGTAAGCGTAATACTTGTAGAAGATCACAGGAGGAGCAGTGTAATTCGACTTGTTGTATGTATGAGTCAGGAGATCGTATAAGATCAATTCTCGGAAGGGAGCGGTTATCCGTATATCAAAACTGTACCAATCAACGCAGCTGTAACCTCACGCCATTTTACCAACCTAATACAGGCTACGAATTTGTGTCTTACAAGTATTTATGTCTTAAAGGTTGGGAATTTATTTAAATTTAATTCAATTCAAGATTTAGATAGAGAGTTGACAGTTCTTGATATAAAAGTCAAAACATGGATACTGAAAAGGGAATGTGTTGAACATTTCAATCTCAAATTAGGTCATTCTGAGAGGAGTTATGGCCGTTTGAAGAACAATGTAGTCCCGATTGTCATTTTTTGATGCCGTTGTTACGATGATAAAGTCTCGAGTATCCATTTTTTAATGAAATCATTTAACTGTCGATCGTTTTGGATTTTGTTAAAACACAAAACAAAAGAAGCAAAAAACAACATCCGATGATCTAGCGAGTTGATTATAGGCTTGGCATTTGAATAAATGTCTAATTAAAATTTGAGGACAACGAGAGAGAGAGAGAGAGATTGAGAGATTGAGAGAGAGAGAAAGAGAGAGAGTAGCGTTCACTCGACACAAACCAGGTCATTTCGGGACTAACATATGGTTCAATTTTTATTTCAATAATTCGCTTCCGCGTAGGGGTCTTTAGCAGTGGGAGGAAACTGGAGGATCGGAGAAAACCCACGAGGTTGGACAGGCGATCCTATTCCTTGTCACGTACAACCACGGAATCGAAACCACGCAAGACCTCACTGACAGACCTTATGATACAGCGCGCACGTGTCTACCCTTCGCCCCCCGCCCCCCACCCTGAGGCCACAGTTGGCCCCTACATAAAGCCTCTTTAAACAATTTGATTTGATTTGCTTTTAATTCTCAGAGAATGCCGTACACAACTTGTTAAATCTAACAGCCCAATCAATGACGAACGAGTCGTTTATTTACTATTCTGGCGAAGACCAACCACTGGACAATTCGTGTTCCTGTCAGATTAGCAACATCCAGATAGAAGATACGTTGGTAGTTTACTACAGACTCTTAAGTTTTGAGACTTGTAGCAAAATAAGAATATTTCCCCAAGACGAGAGATTACTGAATTGTAGTACATATAACGAGAACTTCCAAGAACCTGTGAATATGACTGGTGGTAGTCGACTTCAGTTCAAGGATTTGGTATTTAAACGTCAAGAGTTCTTCTTGTTTAAATTAACAGGTATTGTTTTCATAATTATCATTATACTAGATAACATTGGGTATACGGATGATTATATATGTTCTGGTTTAAAGTCCACTCAACAAAAACTAGGTCATCGCGGGACGGACATGTGGTTTAAAATGTTTAGAATAGATTTTTAATTCGCACAAACATCGAGTTCATTAGCGGTAGGAGGAAACCGCGTGATCCGTTGAAAAACAAATGGGAGTGGACACGATCCCTTATTATATACAAGCTGGGAATCGGAACTACGCCACTTGACTCAATGACAGACCTTATATGATCTAAAGCCATTCGTTTTGTTTAAATTCCAACCCGGAGTACCAAAGGTAAAGACAATCACGGTGGCCCAGTGAGTACAGTTCTGGTTTACTAACCATGAGTTCCTGGGTCGGATCCTGGTGTTGGGCGAGAAAGTTCTCCGAGGTTTTCTAGCACTGTTTCCCCTTGTCAGCGGTGCAGGACACGGATATTTGAGGACGAATAATCAAGGTCCGATTCACATGCTGGCGTGCACGCCAACGATCCCTTGATAGATATGAAGGAATAATCGAAAAAGACCTCTGTCCAGTGAGAATAGTTCCCACATAGCATACTTCAATAGTTCAATTTATTAAACAAAGAAGTGGGTTACAATTTCATTTGCAATTATTTTTATGTTTAGTGAGCCAGGGTTCAAGAGATATCTCATGTGTATGTACTGGTCCACCTGTAATTAATAGTTCAGGTAAAATATTTCATATTCTTATATTCAGTCAATTATCATACTGGGCAGTAGATAGATATATCGAGGGTCGGTAACAAAATGCAGATTATATAGAGAAGATAATCCCCCGGAACTGGTGTCTAGCGACGGACATAGTGTACGTGGCAAGGCTGGTTTACTATTTCCGGCACAGTTGATACCATATGTGACAACTTCCGGCACTGATGTTGTGTAGCAATCGATGTCCGGTGCAAGGCATGTTCTTCTCAGTGTTACCGGAATGTTGTACAAACCGCAGTATGTTTACTTTTTGTAGAACGCTTGATACGACTTCTCACATGACTACTTCCGGTAGTAGTCATGTATCCTATTTGTATACAGATATTGTGTATACTGGCATATTGTGTATATTCAGATCATGATATTTTGTGTATATTCAGATCATGATACTGTGTATATATATATTCGGATCATATTATGTATATTTAGATCATGATATATTGTCTATATTCAGATCATGATATTATTTATATTCAGATCATATATATTGTCTCTATTCAGTTCGTGATGTATTGTGTATATTCAGATCATGATATATTATGTTGATATATTATGTATTTTAGAGTTTGAATATACCGGTTTGATGATTGGTTTGATTGTTGCTGCTCTTATGATAATTGTAGGTGTAGTACTGTTTTGCTATTGGAGGTAATATTTACGTTTAAAGCGTTTTAACATTTCAACTAAACGTCACTGCATCATTATCATCGTTGTTGTGATTGTTATCGTCATCGTCATGAACTTCGTTCCCAGATTTGCCTATATTTAACTTTCAATTTCATAATTCATCATTTTTTAAAACTTTAATCCACACAAAGATCAAAATATTCCGAAAACAATATTGTTACGGAATCTAAATGTTAGCACCATCCTATCAGGATAGGGTTTAAATATCAAGTTTAACCCTTTGTTTCTACAACCTACCAAGCGAAATTTTTGAAATATCGCAATTATTTTCTTAGGAATAACATTTTCATGTACAGACGTATATCGGTACATAAATAAAGTTCACTTTTTTTATTCACATTGTGTTTGATATTGTTTGAGATTGACACCTTTTCGGTAAATTTTCGAGGGTCTTAATCAAGACACACACCGACCGCCACCCAGCAAATGTGAATGGTCTGTTGCAAAATTCCTGGATAGCTGTATTGGCTCGGTGAATAAGACGCTGACGGCTCGCTAATCCGGCGGTGCCACCTGGTTCGATCCTGGCGTTGGTGTGAAAGTTCTGTCAGGCATGCTTTCCCCGGGAAAGGAACGGCGCCTGTGGTATTCTGGCAAACATGTTCATCGTAGCACCCTTTATGGCATATGTTCGTTTTCTTTAGCCGGGATGGAGCAAAAACGTAGCACGTTACCCCACCCCATTCATTTCATTTGTAAAGCCCCTAGCCCCGCACGAATGTATTAACAGTTTATGTTAAAATTGACCTTTTTTAGGAAACGGACAGAGCAAGCAGATGATGTAACCGTTAACAACAGGTAAAACGGGTCGTTAGTCCAGGCATGATACAAAAAGTGGAGGCAGTTGCTGTAATAGAAATGACGACCACGGTTTATGGTCGGTCTAGAGAAGTATATTATCTGAGAAATTGTCGTCGTGATTTCGAGCTCTGTAAAAAATACACGTGGAATGTCACACATTTTACTATCATTTTAACTAATATTGCAAAATGTTGTAAAGCTATTGAAATGGAGGAGTCTGTGTCGAGGTATAAATGGCGCCAAAGTTCAATCTTGCGGACCGCTGTATTTTACAGTATAATTAGTCGCCATGTCAAAAGATGACAAATGACAACTGGACATTAATCTAGTGAGGCTGGTGTCCCTAAATAAATGACAATCGTTAATAACTTGCAGATCTATCATTTTTATAAAGCATATAACAATGAAATTGTTCATCACTCTATGTAACCCAAGCAAAACATGCTGATTGTCGAGCTTAGTCAAGATATTGACGTAATGAAACTATACACGTTGCTTAGATCCGCTCATTATCCAACTTAGCCAAGGCATTCACCTAATAAACGACTGGACAAAGTTTGAACATTCGAGCTAAATTAGAAGCAATGTTATTTACCCAAAAATTGTGATAAACATACGATACAGACAGGTGGACAGATAGGCGGGCGGACGGACATAACTTTTCTTGTAACAGCGATCACCGCCTGCTATTCGTCCCTATCAGACCACGTAAAAAAAAACAATGGCTCGCAAAAACGACATTTGGTACCATGAACCTCATAGAACTCGTCCCGTCTACTTCCATAGCTTTACAACCTTTTTAAATTTTAGCTGGGGAAAGGGGAAGAAAAACTTAAGAATAAACCCTCTACAGAAAAAACTCGGCCTTCCCACCTCGGTTTTTCTTTTTCTCAAGTTATTTTCTTCAGTCTTTCTTTCTCCTTCCCCAGCATAACATCAGTCTCGTGCTTTATCCTACATACATTGACTTGGCGGTATAACTAATCACCTATGTGTATGGAAATGGATTCAGCTACCCAGAAAGAATACAAATTGGCATTTTCCAGCCAAACTGGTGGCTATTTTAGATTTTGGACAGTATGTCCATTTGGACACGAATTTCCGCCTGGGACTTTTTGGGGTGATAATATACGTCTAAACCGACCATATATCTTAGTGGGTATTTCTATTGCGGCAACTGCTCGGGATGATGGTGAATATCGATCGAGGATGACGGGGACAGAGACAATTACGTAATACCTTGTGAAGACACTGGTTTTATCCCGATATGAACAACCCAACCGCTTCCAGGAGTACGAGTGGAACCACGCCTGGTACTGGGAAACAAGTGACGTCACCTGAACCACCCGATGATTTCTATGAAAAGGTGGAGACGGACCCCGACGACGACGCAGCACTGGATATATATGAGGAAATGGACAGCGCGAAACTTTAATGAAATCTTGGCTCAGTGAGTAAGGCGCTGGATTAATAACCAGGGGGTATAGGGTTCGATACTAGGGGGTTTTCCGGTGTGGTTGGCCCTTGTTAGATGGTACAGGACCGAGAACCTGAACGGGAAAGTGTCTAGTCCCTCGGGCGGATGTAATAACCCTGGTCTCGAGTGCTTGTTGTGTACGTAAAAGAACACTTGCAAATTGGAGTTGGATATAAGAGTAGGCCGTATCGCCTCTGTCCGGGCAAACTTTTCTCTATAGTACATTGGGAACGAAATCTGACCACCTGGTTAGCGAGCCAGTGCCTTACTCACTGAGCTAACGCGGCCCTCCCATTATAAATGAATAAGTTTATAATATTTACTACTATTTGATTATTGTAATCTTTATAATATGTTATTTTTGTATGTTAATATGATATAGCAGGTAGATAAATTGTATAAATTAAATATTAATATAGTGTTACAACCATCGATTGGGAAGCCGGTAAAATACTAATTTTACTTTAAACACTATTTTATTCAGATTTGTATCTGAATAGGGATATGTATCTGAGTAGGGATGTGTATCTGAATATGAATTTGTATCTGAATAGAGATTTGTACCTGAATAGGGATTTGTATCTGAATAGGGATTTGTATCTGAATAGGAATTTGTATCTGAATAGGGATTTGGGGAACTGCATATTATCCTATATCATATATTTTTGCCTGTCAGATATAGATATAGATATACATGTATTTACATTTTATAAATAAACAAAAAATGTACAAGTGGAAATATAATTACACTGTTTATTTTGTTTTCTCAAATTTTGAACTATGGAGTTATCGTTGCTGTTGGAGACTTCTGATGATTTTGAAATACGAGTTGACAGTTTTAAAAATATTCAGTCAGCTCCCAGTGTCGTCAATGCCGTGCAATATGATATTAGTGTTACGGTAGTTAAATTAGCCCCCCGTGTCGTCAATACCGTGCAATATTATACTAGTGTTAAGTTAGGTAGACGATAGATTTGTTCTTGTTCTGGGTATCTGAATGTAAGGAGCAATGTAAAATAAACTGTTCAATATCTTCAAATGGTCACCATTACAGGATGGGTTGTCAGAATTAACCTTGTGAAAAGAGTAATGTTGCAAAGCTGATTTACTGCCGTGTAACACTTACACCAGCCGTCTTACTAACTGATCCACCGGGGCTCTTAATTGTACAAGGCAATAAATAAATAATAACATTGATCGGTTCCACCCTATTACAATACGACATGTTTAATGGAACACGGAGCTCTTGAGTTGATAGGATATCTGAAACTTTGGGTTCATGAACACCCTATTACAATAAAACACGTTTGATGGGACACATAGCTCTTGAGTTCATAGGCTATCTGAAACACTGGGTTCATGAACACCCTATTACAATAAGACACGTTTGATGGGACACAGAGCTCTTGAGTTCATAGGCTATCTGAAACACTGGGTTCATGAACACCCTATTACAATAAGACACGTTTGATGGGACACAGAGCTCTTGAGTTCATAGGCTATCTGAAACACTGGGTTCATGAACACCCTATTACAATAAGACACGTTTGATGGGACACAGAGCTCTTGAGATCATAGGCTATCTGAAACATTGGGTTCATGAACACAATCCTCCACACGATGACACTGTATTGACAGCACCAATCACACTAAAACTCTTCATTCCTACGACGATGACGACAACTAAACAACAATAATAATGATTGTTTCCATGGCATTTAGGAATAGAACTGGAATACATAAGTTACAATTCTAGGGAACACCATCACTACTTATTAATGGACGAAGATTTCAAATGCTGCTTTTCCAATTCTATTTTGTTTAACTTCACATTCTGAATACACAGGTAATAATTACATTTCTAGGGAATACCATTACTGCTTATTAATGGGCGAAGATTTCAAATGCTGCATTTCCAGTTCTATGTTCTTTAACTTCACATTCTGAAGATATATAGAGTGCATATTTACAATTGAAACTGGAGGCCACAGTGGCCAAGTGAGTAATCCTCGGCATTTCCGGCATGGTACAACCTTGTAAGTGATGCAGGGCGGTAGGCCTGGCACAGTACCCTCTTGTTATAGTGGTGTAGGACGCAGGGCCTGGAATGGAACCCCCTTGTTAGTGATGCATGGCCCAGGGCCTGGAATGGTACCCTCTTGTTAGTGGTATAGAACGCAGGGCCTGGAATGGAGCCCACTTGTTAGTGGTGCAGGACCCAGGGCCTGGTACGGAACAGTTCAGATGCGAACGTTGGCGCGTACGTATAAGAAAACTTGAGAGTAGGAATTCGAAATAAGTGTAGACCGTAGCACCGATGTCCGGGCATAATTTCCCTTATGGCACACTGCGTATCCGTCTTGGTTAGCCCAGTCAGGCAGAGAAGCAAGACCTACTTAAATCCCATTTCCAGAATTCAAGTTTAACGAGTAGCCTCCCTTCATCTAAGTTACATTACTAAAGTTGCGTATAGTTTTTTTTTCGTTCTCATTGCAACTTCCAGCAAGTAAACATTTCCCATCGTGCTTCAATAATTTCAGTTTATAGTAAACAATAATATCCATAGTTCACTTACATATACCAGGAACCAAGTCAAGGCCCGTCACTCGATGGTCGAATATTATGGAACAAACTTGACACATATCATGAAGATAGGTGCTTGAACTGGCGGTGCCTTAGGCGTTTCTTATTTCGAAGATCGTCACTCTCAAGAAACCGAAAGACAACCAGATGAGTAAAGATCGTCATCACCAAGACCAACACAAACAAACAGATGAGTAAAGATTGGGCGTTATCACCAAGACCATTATTACTTTTTTTTATTACTTTTCAGTCCTTTTTGACCACTATTCATTCCTCCTGCACCTCCCCTCCAAATTACCATGTTCCACAATCAAATAATAAAAACGATCTGGATACACCAACTACCCAGGGTTATATCATTAATTTACTCACCTCTTCCAGTTTTTGACGATCCACTGTTATATGTATGTGTGTATATATTTTCTTCTTTTCTATTTTACTTACATTATATACAACACTGTTTAGTCCATCGTACCATATACGACTCTTGGCATTCCCTAAAAGCCTGAATCTGAAATATATTACAGATTTGGGTCTTTGTTTTGGGTCAGTAGTGTAGGACGGTTGTCTCTCTAGCCTGGAGGTCCAATGTTCGATTACGGCGTTGGCCAAGGAAGTCCATCGGGATTTTCCGGAGTGAATTCTCATTGTCATTGGTGCTGTCTAGTCGCCCCGTGTACACAATGGCGTGCACGTAAAAGATCCCTTGGCAGAAGGAATTCGACGTAAGAGTAGCCCTAGCGCCGCTATCCAGGCAAAATTACACTCATAGTACACTGTAAGCCCAGTCAGAGCAGAACACTAGGACGTTAAACCCGGTTTAATTTCATCGTTAGCCCCTATGCATTAGCCCAGTCTTAGCAGAACAGTAGGACGTTAAACCCCATTTCATTTCATTTTCCAACAAGAAGAATGGGATTAGCAAGTGTATAATACCTGTCTTTGGACACTGGATTGCCTTTATCCTTGCCGTGAACAGGGGTGGCATATCTACCATAAACTGCGGCAGGACGTACAAACTTCAACCCTACCACCGCCAATCTGTAAAACAAATAGTAGTCATAAATATGCAGACGCTCTGTATACAATAAACTACTGCAACCAATCTGTAAAACAAATAGTAGTCATAAATATCCAGCAGGCCTGCTTTATGATCAAAAGCGCTCGCATTTGCCACCCGACGATTCCCCTCTCAGGAGCTTAAGGTACCGTAATGAATATAATCTGCGATAAAAGGTCAACAACAAAAATGATATCCACCATGAATGTTGTATTATCAAGTACCGTGGTCCATGAAATGTAATGTCTCCAGGAATAAACATCTGAACTCAAATGGTGCCAGAAGCTGGATCTGAAGATAAGCTAAATTCGTAAGTCGCATTTCAACATTACATCATGGCGCGATCCAACAACGGCGTGGTGACCGCATTGTATTGTCTTTGTTACTAGTGTTGTAGTGTATCTTTGTATATATTTTATGATATAAGGTTAGTTAAGATAGTAATTGACCAATGTCCGAATTGATATCTCACTAATCTTTCAAGTCTTTTAACTGTTTGGTTTTAAACTTAATGTAACGATATATATTACGTAATTATAGTCCATATCTTCTTCTGTATTTAAACATCTGTTTCCCTATGTACAATTTAGCATCTTATCAAATATTATTATATAATTATTTTAATCCTAAGCTTGTATATATGTTCTATATTCTACTGTAAGCGATACCTATCTCGTTATTGTGACCGTTAGCCAGTTTTGGACACTCGTTTATTAAAAGTAAAATTTTATCTATTTATCTGAGTTTTCGTCGTTAGTGTTGGAATATATTACAGATGTACCCAGAGTCGTGTAAAAGTCTGGTGATGCCCGGGGCGATCTCGTTGATTGTCTGCAGCCATCCCCACTCCCCCCATCCCAGACACACCTAATATTAAAACACCTAATTCTAATTTCACTCTCTGTTTGCAGCCCCCCCCCCCTCGCCACACGCATCTGATTTTACCTGGCTCCTAGATCATCATCTTCACCACCCCAACCAAAATAAAAATTGGAGAATCCATTGGTTTTCTCTATAACAGCCTTAGGATAAGCAACAACTCCACCATAATAACCACGGAACGGTAATCTGGTGGAACAAAAAACAACTGTCAGCATTCTTAAAGAGACGTTATGTAAGATTTAGATAAAGACTTGACCGTTCTTGCTATATAAATTCAAAAATAGATAATTCAAAATGAATATATTCAAAATTTCATTCAAATTACTTTCATCGGAGCGAAGACATAGCGTAGATTGTTCATTATCGTAGCAACAGTACTACAGTACTGGACAAACGACAATAAGGCTCTACCTTTCATTTTATTGTTAATTTTTTTTAAAGTTACAATTTCATATTTTCTAAGAAAGTCAAAACATAATTATTTCTATGTCTTTTGCTCAATAGGTTGTTAACTCACTATTATACGATCATAGGTGTCATTCTCACACTTAAAACTCATTTACACCGGAAATAATAACACAATTACCTCCCAATTACCTCCCTTGTTTTGTATTCTCCACCATCTTCAAACGTTTGAATTTGAAGAAGAAAATGATATTTTTGCAAATTTCTCAACTGGCAATAGTGAATTATAGGATTAATAGGATTATTCTTTAACAATGTAGGACTGTTTATAGATACCATCTATTTTAAGGCTTTATTTTAATAAATTTTTAAAATATAACTTAAAAATATGAAATTGCAACTTTAATCTAGCGATGGTTCTAATCCATTTATAAATCTACAATATGATGCTCTAGAGGGTTGATTATGGGCTTTTCATGTGAATAGATGTGTAATTAATAGTTTATATAACACCTTAGGCGACAAACGATTTAACCTACAATAGGCAGGGCCAGAGTACACAAAGCAATCTCAAGATTTAAGACTTTACTCAACTTTCAATCATTGTTTATGATAAATATCTTTGATCCAGAAACACAAAACGTTGCACATAGTTTCTTATTGATGTATTTGATACATTAAAACAACAAAGTTTTATAAAGGACTATACTGTAGTTACAATAAGGCCAACAATTTTTAGTAAATTCTTAACTTAAGTCTGAGAATGCTTTGTAAACACTACCTCTTTAAAGTGACGTTATGTAAGATTTAGCTATTATCCAGGTTTGTTGCAACAGTTTACAAATGCGTATAATTAATTCTTGAGATTGGTGAAAGTCATTATAAACTCAATGGTCGTAAACGAAATACCCACACTGGACTTTAATAACGACAAACGATTTGTTTAGTAAAAGCTTTAAAACAAAAATATATAACATTAGTTTATAACAGAAGAAGAATAAAATTATGCATATTATAATTAAAAATGCAAAAGGATATTTCTATTTCATTTTCGGAAAACAATATATGGTATGAAATTAAGAGGGAAAGCTGGTGGGGGGAAATGGAACCCAGGATTAACGCTGATCCTTACGATAGAAAACAGCTGGTACTCTGGTACCTGATCCTTACGATAGAAAACAGCTGGTACTCTGGTAAAATACAAACTGTTATAGACCGCGGAATGGTGTGGATTTAACATTGAAGTCATCTTGGGGAGTGAATTACTGGTCTGAATCCATGTCTTTATCAACAATGCTCTCCCCTTCTGGATTATCAGTCACCGATTAGATCTAATTATTAAGGCCATCTGGTCAAATGTCACGAGATGTAAACAGAGCTAGCACTAACCCTAAACCTAGCCCTAACCATAATCAACAATTTAGTCAACAAACACGTGCCCTAACCTTATTTACACATCGGCGACATTGACGAAATCCACAGCTGGCCTTAATATTTAGATCACGCAATCAGTCACCACCCTAAATAAGTAGTGGACTGACCCTGTCGAGTGTTGCTTGGGCGTGTAATCTGACATGTGTGGTTTAGACCATATGGTCTGTCTTTGAGTCAATTGGAGCGATTACGACCCAAAGTTTGTACGCGGCAAGCCATCCATTGAATTATAATTGTATCCATGCCAGTCCCTAACAATCTACTTTTTGTTTAGTTTACATTGAAATCAACAGGGGAGAGAATTACTGGTGCGAATCCATGTCCTTATCAAGAGTTTTCTCCCCTTCGGTCATATATATTCTCAATAATTGTAAAAGTACACTACCTAAATTTCCATTTCTCAACAGCTACAGCCAAGTGTCTTGGAGATGTTGAACATTTGTATATATTATTATCATTAATAGGATACATGTCGACATCGTGAAATATAAAACATGAATAGTTATCTTGTTTTAATGCCTCTAAATAACCAACATTCATCATCAGTGCTCGGTTAAATTTTTCTTGTGGATCCTGTAACGTAATAACATTTTTAGTATCAATAAAATCATGTCCAATATTTACATAGTGTAAAAACATAATATTATAGACTTTTACAACTTTATGTATCCGGAAACCTCAAATAAACGTATCTATCAACCATTTTGCAGCATTATTAGGTGGTACTATTTTAAAGATTTTTATGTACAGATACCTTAACGGTTTCTAAATTAGTATGCATATTTATTATTTGGTGCAGGACGGGGGCCTGGCAAGGGACAACGTGTAGTCTTTCCGATGGCATAAACACCGCGATACCGTGTACACATTGGCGTGTACATAAAAGACCAGTTGGCAGTTGGAATTCGATATAAGAGTTGGTTGTGGTGCCACTGACCGGGCGAAATTTTCCTCATAGCACACTGTATGTCGTATGCTCGTCTTCATCAGCCCAGTCGGTACAGAACAGAACAAAGTCAAACGCCATTTCATTTTAAAACAAAAACATGTGATACAGACCTGCTCGATAACAAATATAGTGAATTCAACTCGTTGACGGAGCAGCATTGGTGGCATGTGTGACAAGAAGTCCATCAGATGTCTCTGTCTGTCTCGGTATGGTATTATTATTGCTAGTTTCTCTCTCTCCTGGCACTCCAATGGTTTAAATTTACCACCGAGTTCAGGCTTATATTTCTGATATTTATTATTCAGGTCTTCCAGCGTTCCATTAAAATGGTGAAAGACAAAGTGACCTACTGCAAATAATCATAAAATTATTTTCCAAAAGAATCATTGACCTTTAAGGGAGATACAACCTTTTGTTCCAGAATCTTATTTCGAATACTAACCGTCAAGGATTAATTTACGCGCCAATTTCTCCTATTAGCACGTGTTGGAATAGCAATTCCTACGCCAAACGGTCCACCAAATCCGAACGAATACGATAAGAAAAACATTGTCTCGATTATCCATTTTTGGATTTAATCATCAATGAGCGTTGAGCAGCAGATCGGATCCTAATCCAATAAATATTGCAGGTTAGCGATGGCATCAAGGGTTGATTATCGTCTTGTCATGTTAATAAATGTGTAATATTTTAGATATCGTTTAAGGCATAAAGACAGACCTGCAATAGGCAGATTTAGCTCTTGCATAATGTATGTTTAATTTACATATATTCAGGATATCATCGGTATGTTTATTTTCAGTTTCCAGAGCCTCGGATCATTCACTGAATGCTAATGGTTAGCAATGCATATCAAATATCACATGATTTTTTCAGCAAATTTCGATCAAATTGGTTGTTTGTACTACTCGTACATTAAGAGAATCCAATTCCAGTAATTCAATCCAGTAAATCCCCCCCCCCCCCGAACCTCTTAGGAGTCACTTACCTAAAGACGGTGGATTCTTCAAACATGTCTTGATTGAAATTTCTGTTGTCTGCCGTGTTAGATTAACAATAGTTATATCAGCAGATTTTGTCTGGTAACTATTCCAATATATCATCACTGACGACATTGAGATTATGATGAACGCGCCAGATATTTGTATTCCTCTAGATGTTGACTGTAAAATTAAAACAAATCTAGAGTTGTCCTAGTAACAACTATACATTAATATCAACATATAGTAATGATCACCTAGACCCCATAACATTGAAAACAAAACATGTGGTTCAATTCCATTTCAATAATCCGCTGGCGCGTAGGGGACTTTAGCCGTAGGAGGAATCCAGAGGACCCGGAGAAAACCCAATAAGATGAACAGGCGACCCTACTCCTTGTCACGTACAAGCCACATTACTTGGCTCAATGACAGACCTCCTGATCCAACGCGCCAGCGTTAAACAATTGACTCCCACCCCTGATATGTGAATTTCATCCTGGGCGAGACGTGAATCTCAAAAAACAGACCCCAAGGACGTATATCTGGAGTTCTTTCTATGTTCTTAGGAACAAAATTGAAATCGAAAACGAATAACAAAGAAAACACCAAAAACTGACAAAAAGAAACAGAACCATTGATACTTTTCATCCCTTACTTTACATATCGTCATTTTTAATGTCCGTAACAACCTAAAACCGTAAAACACCAAACTTCCTCTCGCGAAATTGGGAATTAAGGGATTAGAACTATGGAAGTATAACGTTGCCAATATTATTTCATTCGTCACGGTGCAAACTGCAAATGTAAGTAGTTCAAAATACGTATTTTAGTTTTACAATTTGCAATTTCCACAGTGTTAAAATACAGAATACACTTTTCAATAATACAAAATACAGTAGAATAGTTATTTTGCACATTACACTTCTGCATTCTGCATAATAGACAAATGCATAATAGAACCTTGCAGAGTAGAACATATACCTTATATGGGATCTACGACGAACGTCATTTGCATACGGAAAAAAGTCCGGACTATGACGGAAATTAATGATTTACGCGATAAAGCCATAAGGTCACCTGGATACGAAATGAAGTTAGCACACATATTCCTAGCGCCAATAAAAACCTCGATATAATTATCACGAAAATAACTGTTACCTTTATATTAGAAAATGACATATTAATGCAAAGTATATATGTAATAGACCCCCCCCCCCCCCATGAAAAAAAAATATACTAAAATATCGCACACAAGGCTAACTGAGCACGCAGAAAAGGGGTACGTCCACGCTGCATCAAAAGGCACCGAAACCAGCTTTGGTGGCAAAATGTTTTTTGTTTCACAGAATCAAGGGATGAATAAACTACTAGACTGCACAATTTCAGAAGCCTCCTATGTTAGCTTTTCGAGATATATTACCGTGAACGTAATAAATATGTGGGGGAATCGGGTTAGGGTAGGCTCACTGCGCACGCAATGACTTCTAAACTAGGTTTCGTGGCTCCAAGATCTTTATTTCACCAAATCAACAGATGCATAAGGAGTGAACATGCCAAATTTCATTAACGTTCTATGTTGGGGTATCGAGTTATACCACTGAAAAGTTCCCAGCACCGGGTTCGAGGCGGGGTTCGTGGGTACAATAAACAAGGAGTACGCCCACGTTTCATCAAAAAGCACCCGAACCAGCTTTGGTGGCAACATGTTTTGTATTTCACAGAGTCCAGGGATGAATAAACTACGAGAATAGCTGTTGGAGATATATTACCGTAAACGTACTAAATATGTGGGGAATCGAGTTAGGGTGAGCTCACTGCGCACACAATAACTTCTAAACTAGCTTTGGTGGCTCCAAGATCTTTATTTCAGCAAATTTCTTGAGGGGGGGGTCTATTACATATTATTATATACTTTGCATTAATATGTCTTAAAATTTTATTTTCTAATATAAAAGTAACAATTATTTTCGTGATGATTATATCTAGGTTTTTATTGGCGCTAGAAATATGTGTGCTAACTTCATTTCGAATCCGAGTGCTGGAATACGGGTGAGAGATTCCGGTCGGTTACTATAAGATTCTTTAACCTTACCCAAAAAAATGGTTTTAGAGACCTGTCAATTAAATAAGATATTCAATTTAATTTTCAACAAGAAATTGATTCACTTGAAATATCTGGGGGGTTTTACCGATGAGAACAAATAAGAATAGTCTTTTTACCGATGAGAACAAATAAGAATAGTCTCGTTAAACCAGACTGTTATCTTTCAGAATCCTCTAATCGTCGAACTGATTACATTATAGAGCCTGGACGTTGAAGACTAACAAAACTGAGTACTGTCCCCTTTTAATGACCCCGGCCTTATGGCTTTATCGCGTAAATCATTAATTTCCGTCATAGTCCGGATTTTTTTCCGTATGCAAATGACGTACGTCGTACATCTCATATAAGATATATGTTCTACTATGCAAGGTTCTATTATGCATTTGTCTATTATGCGAAATGCAAAATGCAGAAGTGTAATGTGCAAAATAACTATTATACTGTATTTTGTATTATTGAAAAGTGTATTCTGTATTTTAACACCGTGACATTGGTATTGTTGAGCAATGGAAATTGTAAATTGTAAAACTAAAATACGTATTGTGAACTACTGACATTTGCAGTTTGCACCGTGAACAATGAAATAATATTGGCAACGTTATCCTTCCAAATAAAACTACCAATAGGATTAGTATGTGCGATTACAAGGACTATAACCGGATTAAATAGAGAATCTCCCACGAGTCTTTTTTGATATAAAAAAAGACTCGTAGGAGATTTTATTTATCCCACAATCCATTCTTACATGCATAAATAAATAAATATAATTATTTGCTATAGATTTCACTTTTACTGGACCTCATTACATTACGGCGTAGTGATATATTTTTTTTTGACAGCAATTCAACCATTGCAAAGTCCTTTATATTGACCCAGTGTTTCCATCAAGGTCAATTAAATAAAAATAGTTCCTTTTTAATAAGAAATAGTTCCTTTTTTTAATAAGAAATAAGTTAGTTTTAATAAAAAAAAAATGAACTGTTTTTTGAAAATAAATAAAAAAAAAAAAATCATGTACAGCGATATCGCGGTAGATTATGGAATTTTTCACACAAGCGATATCTACTGTAGATTGTATTATTGGCTGATAAACCCAATTATCTCTATACCTCCCTTTAAACATACATTACTAACGTTGAAATTAGTAATGTTGTATGGAGTGGAATTCACGACATACCTCCCTTTAAACATACATTACTAACGTTGAAATTAGTAATGTTGTATGGAGTGGAATTCGCGAAAATTGTATTATATCGTCACTGTTAATACCTTAAATACCTCACTCTGATTGATTATTATTCAGTCTTGAAATGAAGCTGTAATTTGATCGTATTGGAATAAAATTATGCACCCAAAAACCTATTTTTGTCTGGGGTCTTAGATTACCCCTTGTTGCCGACAACGTTTTTCGTTCAACATGACCGCACAAGGGTTAAGGAGTGGGATTGAAGTTGAAGTTAGTAATGTATGAAGGAATAACGTTGCCAGTTTTATTCCAATGTTCACGGTGCAATATGCATATTATGTCAGCAGTTCAAAATATGTATTTTAGTTTTACAATTTGCAATTTCGATTGCTCCACAATATTAAGGTCACAGTGTTAGAATACAGAATACACTTTTGAATAATAAAAATACAGTATAGTTATTTTGCACATTAAACTTCTCCATTCTGCAATTTGCATTATAGACAAATGCATCATAGAACTTAGCATAATAGACCATATACCTTATATGGAATGAACGACGAACCTCATTTGCATACGGAAAAAATCCGGACTAGGACGGAAATTAATGATTTACGCAATCAATCTACAAGGTCAAGGTCAGTAGAAGGGGGTGGTACTCATATTTGCAGACCTTGAAAAACGACCAATGAAAAAAAATGGATTTTAACGTCCTACTGTTCTGTCCTGACTGGGATAATGAAGGCGAGCATACACCATGCAGTGTGCAATGAAAGAAAGTTTGCCCGGACAGCGACGCTACGGCCAACGCCTTTATCAAATTCCAAATAGCATATGGAACAAATGTATTTCAATAATTCAGGGTTTTTAGCAGTGGGATTAAAACCGCACCATCTGACATTATTATTCCGATCCTTAATGTAAATCCGTCGGCTTTTCAGGTAGAAGTCGTGGAACAAGCTTTATTTTGTAGGTTTTGATGTTTGATGACAAAAAAAAACAAAACAACGTTGACATTTTTTCTGAGTAGATCTTCATAGAATGAGAAGCCAGGTAGCCATTGTGATTTGGCACTGTATTAGAATTCATATGGATCATGACTATATTTCAGATTTATATTTCAGATTTTTTTCCCATCATTTCATGAAAATATTTCCAAGATGACGTCTATTTTTGGTGTGAAAATGGGACGATGTGAAGATTTTGATTACGTAGTAGTTTTTGGTTTCAATATAAATGTTTTCTGGGTCGCAGATTCCGTTTCTGACATTTACAACCTTATAAAATGATCACATATTCAAATACTTAGCATATTTCCAAGATGACGGCGTTTTTTGTGGGAAAATGGGACGATGTGCAGATTTTGATTAAGTAGTAGTGTTTGATGTCAATATGTATGTTTACTTGGGCGCAAATTCCATTTCTTAAATTTACAATCTTGTAAAATGATCACATGTTCACATATTTAGCAGATTTCCAATATTGCTGCCATTTGTGGCGGAAAAATCGGACGATGTGCTGATTTTGATTAAGAAGTCATCTTTGGTGTCAATATAGATATTGTCGTAGCGCAGATTCGACAACTGCGTAAAATGATTCTATTTAACATGCGGATCGCAATTAGTGTGTTGGAGTTTCAAAATCACAACCAACAGTACTACAGTATGGGGTTCCCCAAGGATCAGTCCTCGGTCCAATTCTTTTCACAAATTACATGCTGCCTCTTGGCGATGTCATCAGGGAATTTGATGCGAATTTCACCTTTTTGCTGATGATACTTAGTTGTATCTCAGAGGCTCACCTTGTGACGTCCCAGAGAAAAAACACAAACTGGAAAACTGCTTTGAAAAAATCCGCGTGTGGATGTATGAAAACTACTTGAAAATTCAG